ATTCGTCACATCGAAGGGTTATCGCGCTATTGTTATAATCGAGATTGGAGCATCGTAGCATAGAAGTTTAATCTTGCCGTAGTTTTACTTTCCAAGTCAGCTTTACTTTCCAACACTGTACCAGATTCAAGTCTCCGATTTGGAGCATGTTTTTTCATTCTATTCACACTTTTATTATTATTCGCATTGCCTTCCGCCTTGCTTTAAATTGTTCAAATTTCCGCATAATTTACATATCGCTTTATTTCAAAAGATTTGTTTTCTAAACTGAACTTAAGGGTGACACTTTCGTTCTTACTTTTGAAAACCAATCACGCACGTATTTATTTTCCTAAATGATTTATTCTACAAACAAATTCTTTACTATGTTTACCACTGTCATGTCTAGCTAATTATGCTGTGTTGGGATGTGAGGACCGTTGTTTCGACGATACTCCATACGTTGTATTTGTAGAAATACTTTAGGGGTTGTTTCAGATTTTAATGCAACTTTTCTGAACTTAAACTGATCAGCCATTACGTGAACGGAACCGTGTTTCTGTTTACGTAATAACCGTGACTATTTCGGGTAAAATCGAAAGTCGTCCGACACTTTAGATAAGAGTTGGTTAGTTTTTAATTGGTAAAAACAGTGAAAGCACTTTATTAATTAATTAGGAAAGTTTGGTATTATTAAAAAGTGATTTTAAAACAATTTTCGGACGCGTTTATAGATTTAGGATCCAGTTGGCCGAGCATATGCCGGAAACCCTTTGATATTGAAAGTTTCCAATCAAAAACACTTTTTAACTGAGACTTAGATGTAGTTATATAAAAAAAGATTTTTCACTTTATCGCAAGATGCGACCGGTGCAGCGTGAGCGGCTGATATAAATTAAAGGTTAGGTCCGGTTCCGATTATGCTAACACGGCGATTCCTTTTTAATTAACTCTTTTTCAAGGAAGAAAATATTGTCCCACAAGTATGACTACCTAGACAATATGAGTATTATTTGATCGATGAGAATTACATTCCAATATGCTTTATTCTGAATTTGAATTCATTCCTTAATTATTTTTTCTGTGCGTATTATGCTCTGTTTTTATTAGCTTTAGATAAACACCGTAACAATAGTGATCGATAGATTGACATTGGTCTCTGTGGAATTAATAATTTTTTTTATTACTCTGACGTACTCCGTATACTTGCGAATAGCATGCATCCATCATGACTTTTGGTTGTTGAATGTGGTATAACTTGTTTGCTGTTTACCAAGTCGCGTTTAACTTTTGTGTTTTCATTATAAAAGTTGAAGTTGTATCTGGTGAAAGACATATGATGTAATGCTCCAAGTTATAAATCTAATTAAGTCAAATTTGTTTTCAACTATGAAGTTGTGCTGACATTGATTTTTCTTTAAATATAAGACTTCTTTATAAGTTGATACATTTCCAATCCAAAAGCATTCATGAGATTATGGGAAGTTTATGCCAACAAAGGAATAATACATACAACTAACAACACTGGTTAATATAAAATTGTTTACTGTCAAACAATTAAAACCTTCCCAATCACCTTTGTTTGTGTCTCATTGTTGGTCTATTAAATTTAAAAGCTGATACAATTCCAATCCAAAAGCATTTCTAAGATATTATGAGAAGTTTATGTTAAAAAATTTAGTTATAAATTCATTCAGAATGCTATGTTTTTAGCCTGAATGACACAAAGATAAATAATGTAAAATACACAAAATCTCACATTATTCAAGCATAACATAAGCAGATATACAACAGTATATTATCTAAAGTTATATTGATATATTAATTAACCAAACATGCTTTGTAACATCCAGCTGACAGAAATTGAAAAGATAACAATAAGCAGATATAATCATGATAATCCATTAAATTGATATAAAGTTTAAAGGTATTCAATTAATGGAAACAATGAACTTGTTTTCAAAACATATACATATGTCTAAAGTTACAAAACCAAAACTTGACATAAGCAATGAACTTCTTTTAATTAAAAGTTATGGCTAACTAAATAACCTTAAATCTATGGCAAACTAAACAATCTAGTAGGATTTGTGGACTTATTTTTCCTTTTTGATGTCTTTTGTTAACTTGGTTGAGGACAATTGAACACTTTTAAGATCTTCTACTACATCAACTAAAGATCGCTTCGACGGAGTCAGACCTGCATTTCAAGAGCAGGATCATAGTCTGCAAATGCAGACAGAGGTTCCTGCAATAAGATTTTTAAAAATCATCACTAATACCAATATCGACTAATAGATTAGATTGAAATCTACCCTCAACTATGGATGCCAAACCAAGTATGTTGAGATGGTTTACAGGGATGTCAGGCAATTTTATTTTCTTTTCCGAAGTTGATCCACAAAATACCAACTTGAAACTATGTGTGGTTGATTTAAAAGAGAAATCATTATTGAAAACCTTGAAATTCTGCATGATGTAGGCACTTCCAACAAGTTTAAACTTTTACTTCAAAACCAAATGCGGTGGAACAATCACTTGAATCATGTCGCGCTAAAAAATGAAATATAATATGGGACATTAGAGACGAAGACATTTTGAGGAAACAAACAACTTTAACAAACGTTGTATCAAAATTGAAACATTATTCATACATTCGCATCAAGCAAAACCATGTTCAAGTGCTCTTTTTGGAGGCACTTGTCACAAACCACAGATCTCTAGATCGAATAACTATCTTCCATAAATCTTTTGAGTCGTTGATATTCCTGACAACTTCTATTGGGCAAGTCATTAGATTGTTCTGTATGGTAAAACAACAAAAGGGACGTCCAAATGTTAGCTAAAGAATGAAGCAACAAAGAAACATGATTTAATCGAAGCAAGTATAGAAGAAATATACGTGGTCTATTGATGGTGTTGAAGAAGAATGCTTCAACAACGATAAAGTATAGAAGATGAAGAATTTACATAAAGAAGAAGGAAGATGAACGAAACAGAGGTTTGAAATTAGTAATAGCATCTGTAATGAGAGTAAATTAAATGGGAAAATTAAGATACTTTTTGTGGGTTTAAAGTGATTTGTAGGATTTAAAATATTTATAGTTGATTTGAGTTGTTTTTACTTTAATGATGGTTACTTGTAAAAAACCAAAACTTGACCCCACATTTTATAGTTGTTGGAGTTTTATTGATATTTTAATAATATAAAACAATAATAAAATAATAGTAAGAGTAGTTGAGAATGGATAGTGTGCCTTGGTTATATAGTTTACTTCCACTAATTGTTAGTTCACTTACTGCCATGTCATTTTTATTCCAATGCAAATTGCTTATAACTACGGTTACTATTAAAGAATTTAATACTACAGAACCTGCACTAAAGATGCTCTAATGTAGTGTGTTGAAACATTGGTTGCAGTGGTAATGAACTAGAAGTATTCAAAGTTGCGTGACTCTTCGGTTTTCAAATTAATTCAAATATCTCTTTGTTGTTTCCCACGTAAAAGTTGTATGAAGATTTCCTTTTCAATTAGCCAAAATAATAGAATTGATTCACAAATTGGCATATCAGCGGTCATAAATGCCAAATATATAAGATTGCAACAAACATGTAATTAAAAAAAAAAAAGAAGGCATGTAAGCCTAATGATTAACTTTGGAAATTTCAAAGATTTTAGTTTTTATATATAGATAATACTCACTCTGATTTAAATTATAAGACGTATTGACTATTTTACACGAATTAAAAAACTTAATTATTATTTTATAAAAAAGACAAATTATATATGACTTTACGTAATTTCTTTCATAATTATATCAAAAAAAAAAATTAAAAGAATTGATAGAATAAATAATAATAAATAACTGATGGTATATTAGAGAAAATGTCATTAATATTATTTTAGAAATATAAAATGATTTATAATTTAAGACAATTTTTTTTGACAAAATGATTTATAATTTAGAAGAAAGTAGTAGATATCTATAATGTATAACATATATAAAAGAAAAACATGGTATTTTGGCGTAGCCTATTTTTTAAAATCAATTTTACCATTACTTTAATATATGAATTACTTAATAATTTTCATTAACTTCCTACATAACTTTCTACTAATAACTTATATTATTAACTTCTCTTTAAAATTAATATTAGATAAAAAAAATATTATTTAAATTTTTACACGTGCATTGAAAAAGCGGACAGACGGGCACACCTTATCCGTCTAGACGTTAGTATATAGATAACTCAATTTTTTATAGTTACATTTTGAAGCAGCTGTACCCGTTAGGCATGACAAAAAAACCAAAACCTGTCGGAGTCCGTCCGAACCCGCCCCGAAATTAACGGAAAAACTCGGTTTGAGTGAGTACGGGTGCGGGTGCGGGGAAAATCCGACTTTTAATTACGGGTGTGGGTACGGGTGCGGGGAGACACTAAGACCCGCCCACCTCCGGTCCCAAATAATATATTTTAGTTTAATTCTCTTATTTTACTTATTTTAATATTAATTTATTAATTATATTTTTAATTAAATTATTAATATCTTTATTGCAATTAAAATAATTAAATTAATATTTATTTACTAATTAAATTTTTAATTAAATAAATAAATAATTTATTAAAATAATCAATTTTTTAATTAAATTATTAATTTTTATTACAATTAAAAAAAAGAAATTAATTTTTTTACGGGTGCGGGTGCACAATTTCTCTACTGAAGATGGGTCTGAATGATAAATTTTTATCTCCAATTAAATTTAGGTGCGGAGACAGGTGTGATACATGGAGGCGGATGCGGGTACGGATATAGTAAAACCCGTCTCCGACCCGCCTCTATATACATGGGGTTTTATTAATAAAAATTTACTTTTTCAATAAAACTGCAAAGACAAAAACACCCTCAACATCCTCAATACCTTTTCCAATAAATCCTGAAAGACAAAAAAAAACCCTCAAAATTCTCCTTTCGATTTCTATTTTGAAAAATCTTTTCGTCTTCAACTTTCCCGGGAAAATGGCAAGAAAACGAAAACAAAAAGTTCCGGGCGTACTATGGCGTCTCTTCCGAAACCGAGCACGAACCCTCTCACAAACCATACTTTCACTCCTTCCTCCTCCACCTCCATCCCCCGATCTCTGTCACTGCAAAGGCCACCGTTGTCTCGGCTGTACCTCCGACGCCAGATCGTATCTTCTCAGACCGAACGATCCTTCCGACTACCGCAAACTTCTTGCCAACTGTTACGTAGTCGTTTCGGAAAACGCTCCTCCTATTCGCTTTTTCATCCCGTATTCTCATTGCACGCAAAATCAGGTTTCCGAGTACTTTTTCTTCATCTTTCGTTTATTTGAATCAGCTTTTTCATTGATTGGCGTTTAGTGTTTTAGATTTGTTAGGTTTGTTTAAGAAATTATAACGCGTTTGCGTAGTTTATTTATAAGTTGTTATTATTATTTCTATAGCTTCCATTCAGATTTATCACGATGCTATTTTTTAAAATCTTTTCATAAAATATCTCAAAAAACGAAAGCATCTAAGTTGATGAATGCATGCATTTTTTTTATACTAGTCATGGTTTTAAATAACGGTCGCTTTGTATTGTAGTCGCCTGAAAGCTTTCGCGCGATTTCGGTTAGTATAGGTGTTGCAACACTGAATGCGGTAGTCGCGGTATAAATTAATCATAATTTGTTCTTTATCATAAAAACAGTGAATAATAACGATATTGATATCGGCAGCTTCTCATACTGTTTTGGTGTGGTTGTTTTCACCATAAGTTTTGAAACTTTGGTAGTCATTAATTAAACTCATGTTTGAAAGAGTCAACATAATATTTCTATAAGTTATTTTAAACATATTTTGATAAAGTAGTCAATATTCTTTGTTATGAGTTTATTTTCTTTCTATTTTTAGTCCTAAAACAATTTCTTAGTAAATACTTAATTAAAGCTATTAACCCAAATGATCTTTAAATAGTGTTTTTAAAAAGCCTTTGATGTAATAATCTTTTTTTTTAAGTGTCCCGTGGAAGATAAAAGGCTTTTCTTAACTTTCAGCAATGTGATGACATGCATTTTTCACTTCCATTTTTGCTTGTGTTTTTGTTTTAACTTTCAGCTGGAAATGTTTATTTTCTAAGGCTTTAAGTGCTTTATTTCGTTACTTATTTGTTTTGAGCTTTTGATTGCCTTTGACTTGAGTCCTTTTTAGCTTAAGAAGTGTTTTTTAATAAGCAAATGTTAGCTGATACTGATAGTGTGTTATGTTAATAGTTAAAATATGAGCCCTGGAATCCTGGATTAAGAAATGTTTTAAGTTCATTGATTGTGAGAATATATTTGTTTTCCTCCTGTTCTATTGTGGATTATTTTTTAAGATTGAAGTCTCAAGACTGGAGTGGATGCTTTAGGAATTTCAGTTTTTTGCTTTCAGATTGTGAAGAGCATTATTGAACTGTTAATGCATCCAGAGGATCCAGCCTCTGCCAATGTGTTATGCTCTGGTTATAATAGGGTAACCAGCCTCTTCTCTCTTTTTTACTTGTATATGATTTTGTTGCTTATCCGTGCCACTTTTTAATTTAAGGCCTTTATTTGGTTTTGTTGTTTCAATTGCTGTTTATATAATGGAATAGTTCGATTGTTTGTTCCTATAGAAATGATCTGTTTTTGCCATTATTAGAGTATTCTTAGAGTTGGATTAGCTATTTCTAGAGATTGTAATGCAATGCCTTTCATTTGATTATACCGAGATTGATTTGTTTTATTAGTTGCCGAGTTGTTAGTCTTGAAATTTTCAACTTTGGTTACTGGTTATTAATTGTGAGTCGAGTGGCTCTTGTGCCGATGCATGCCGTAAGCCTGCATACTTTTTGATGGTTTTTGTTAACCTGTCTTTTAACAACTGATGTGCAAGGATGTAACAATATATATAATCTCAAGCTTGTCCTTTATTTATGATATAATCAGCAGATATTCCGGAGTTCATTATCATCCTCATTATAAGGGGAAGCTCTAAGATACAATAATATGTTATCAAGATATTAGATGCTTTTGTAACCCTGAAAACGGAAGGTTACTCGAAGTGCATTGGTGAATTAAAATGTGAAATATCGTTAGCGTTATAATGAAGACTAATGTGATATATTCTTTTGGTTAATGGTTTTGTGCTCATTTATTTCTCAAATAACAATTTTGTTTATATATGATAGAGTTGGTTCACCAGACTGAAGGAGAAATATCTATAAAGCAGAATAGAGGAAAACTCTGTTGTCAATCATGGAAAATAGCAATTTGCTCAAGTTCTGCCTCGCTGTAATCCAATAGAGTCAATATCATCGCAATTTGACAACACTTTTACTTAATAATGTATCACGGAATAATTGCAAATTTGCAATTTGTTCAATTTCGGCCACGGTATAGTACTTCAGCACTACTATAGCAGCTATTTTTTGTGGCTTTTGGGAATTCAATAGCCCTGGCCGTGGCCACTCCTCACTACACTTATTTAAAAAATCTTTCTTTTGGCCATTTAACCTGTTCCTATATGGCTGCAGCCTAACTAACTACTAATAGCTACTCAGTATCTCATTCAATTGCATTGAGTTAGATGCTCCCCTTTCCTTCCGAACAGAGCAAGTCTATCGTAACTTCTTGTTTTCCTATCAATATGCAGAGCACATGTTCAAGCCCTAATGTGGACCTCTTATCCTGTGCATCTTGGTGTCTTCTGTTGAGTAGGGTATGCAATTATACCAAGTTTTTTAAAAAAAAAGTATCTATTTGTATGATACTATTTTTTTCATTCCCTTTCTTATCAAACTCAGTCAAGAATTTGTATCCATGCAGATTGGGGATGATTTTATGGTTTATCTACTAAAGAATACATCAATATTCTTGCCAGCTTCCCATGGAAAACACTACCAGGTGGGAGGTCCTCCAATCAGCCGTCTATGCTTTGATATGTTGAACAAGTGTACATCAAAATTTGACAATCAGCATTCTTCACTTCATAAACGTGGTAATAAGAACCCTTCATCTATGATATTCTGTGATCTCAGTAAACATTATGCACCTTCTCTCTGAAGATGGTTTTTCTTATTGACAGAAAAGATATGCATCTGCTATATTTAATTTCCTCTAGTTTCTCTAAGCTATATTGTTTTTGTTTTTAATCTCATGGACTTCTATTCTTGTAGTCAATTTTCAATATTGCCAAACTCTTAATTACTATACTATAATGACCAATTAAAATTACATGTTGATGCATTAACTTTTGCAACATTAAAATATCAGTAACGTGATAAATTCACAAATTGGTGACACTTCCCTTCATTAGTTCTTCTGATAAATGTTATTGCTATCTTTTGGCTTCTTTTATGACAATTATTTATGTCATGTGTGTTTGAGCAACATAACATTAAATTTATTCTTTTGCCTCTCGGTTATTGGTATGAATAATGTTGCAATAATAATGGAATAATGTTTGAAACAGGAGCACAAAAGAGAAAAAGATCTGCTGACGTTGATGACACAACAGTACAAAATCAAAAGCGCCGTATTTCTTGCAATGCCAATAACCCTTTTGGCTTTGCCAGTAACCTAGGTTTGAAGGATGAGTCTTCAATGCAATTGAGTAGGTATCGTGGGAGCAGGAGTTATGATGTCAGTGCCTCTGAAGCTCTTAAGTCTACTAGAGCTGCTACTGTAATAAAGAAGTCAGACTCAGAAGGGAAATCAGACTTGAATTGTATTACAACTAGGACTGGGAAGCGATCTAGGCCATGTAGTTGGAAGAGGCGTAAATGCAAAAAGCAGAAGCAATCAACCGCCGAAGAAGATAATCTAAATATTCAATGCAATTTGATTCCTACTTATACAGATGGCCTGCTTGCTAATCTACAGCATGACAGCACCAGGTTAAGCTGTCACGAAAAGGTGACAAATTGTTTCTGTGAAATATTGTGAAAACCACTTACCAACTCTTGTTTTGGAATCTGGGTAGGAAATAGATATTGCGTGCTACATTTTAATTTATTATTATAGAAAGAAAATTTTGTTTCGGTATAAAAGGAAATAAACCTAGTGTTTGATCTTCATAAACTTACAAACATCAGAAATGGGAAAAAGGAAAATGTTTGTACCCAAAAGATCTACTCAACCCTTATGCAAGCTTTTCCTTTTAATATCCCATGAACAAAGCTCACAAAGAAGCAAGGAAAACTAACTTGTCAGTAGAAGAACAAAAGATATTTTAATATATATATATATTTTTTTATGGAGCATTTTAATGATAAAGGGGGCGGAAATAGTGAGATCTTGGTGATTGATTGATATGTCACATTAGCCCAAGTTATTATTAGTGAAATATAAGATAACAATGTGGGCTTCTTTTTCAATCTTCATCAATTGTAATTTTCATTTTGATTCAGTAGCATACACTTTCTTGCAGATATAATTTTATGCTGTGTTATCACATCATTTTTATATGCTCTGTAGCTGCAGATGTTGCAGAAATGTTCTTGCTGTGTAATCTTACATTCTCTTCCAACTGTTCCCAAGTGGACTGATATCAATAGGAAATACATCTTTTATAATCTGGAGTCTTCACTCTCAGTTCTTCCGAAGAAACGTATCCACAGTTTGGTTTTGAATCTAACATGGTGTACATGCCCACCCTGAAATAATATTTTATTTATTAAATTTTTACAAAGACAAGTGTAAATTGTTTTTGGAGTTCATGTTCCAAAGGACAATATTTTGTTAGAGTTATAATTTCATAAAGCTATAATGCTTTTTCTTCTAAGTATTTCCTTCACAAATTATCTTCAGATATTTTACATTCCTTAAAGCCAAATTTGGCTTCTTCCAAATATCTCATTGGCAATATTTTTGGCTTCTCAGATGTAAATGATGGTGCTCAGCCAGTGCCATGTTCTCATAGCAGTGGTTCATGTCTCATTGACTCTGCATGCCTGTAAGTTCAGGATGGTCCTTTTGATTCGACAAAATGTTATGATGCTTTTAAGGTCACTATGTACATGGTCCCTAGTTCATTACCACGCATTTTGTACTCATAATGAATGTGAAGTAAATTTTGCTCTGCATTCCAATCTTCTACCTGCTTTGGAGTTTTTACTTCATGATGCTGCTAGATGATTTATAATCTTTCTATGACTGATAGAATATGCCTTGATCTTTCTGCTTTTGCTTTGTTGTGTTAAAGGGGTCTTAGAATGAATTCATGGGTAAGAAGTGCTTAGACCTGAAAGTTGAATGGTTGTTGGGACAAAGGTTGCTGTGAAATGGGTTTTAGAGTGGTTCTTGATTGTTGATTACTGTTATTCCTGAATAGCACACTATTTCCTTGAACACATAAGTTTATATGAATGATTCCTAGATATTCTTCCTTGTACATCAAATGAAATGTATGTTGAATTGATGTCGAAGGAGGTAAGAAATTAAGAAAAATATCAAAATCGTTCAAATTTTTAGTTGAATTCATGATAAAGCTCAATATCATCGGACTGATAATAAGCCTTTTGAAAGTATTAGCATTCAGCATTTCAAATTCAATAAAGAAGCTCACATTTCTTTGAAATTGTTATAATTGCAATGGGTTTGTAGATATTACTCTATTGTTAAGTGGTTTAATTATCTCATTTGTAGGATAAAGTTTGCCAGCATACAAAGCTCTCGGATAAGCACTGTGTTGTTTCCCTTACTGGATAAACATACAAATTGAAGATCTAGCTCCAAACTAAGCACATAAAATTGGACTTTTAATACATAAATTTCGATCAATAATCTTGGATATGGTTCCTCACTTTCTTGTACATAAAATACAGTTTGTATTGACATGATGTACAAAGAAGAAACATATCAAAATCGTTCATGTTCTATTAGTTGAATTTATGATGGCGCACAATATTCCAAGAAAGATTATAAGCTTATTTAGTGTTAATATTCAAATTCAATGGTTATCTCTTATTCTTCCAAAATTGTAATAATTGCAATGCTTTTGTAGGTATCACTCTCTTGTGAAATGGTTTAAGAATATCATTCGTAGGGCACGGTGTTGCCAGCCTGCAAAGTTCTTGGATAAGCATTGTTTTGTTCCGTCATTGGATCAACATAGGGATGAAATATCTACCTCCAGACTTGAGGTATTATTATTCTCCTAAAAGTTTTATTATTTTGGTTGGGTCAAGAAGTTTTATAATGTCATCAAGGGTACAAGAACTTTTACCCTTTTTTGCATTGCAATTAATATTTCATCTTAATAAATGTGGTACTTATCGCATTATTTTTTACTACAGGACTATGCATCAGAGACAAATGGAAATAAGAAGTCTCAGGAGTTTGGTACTCAACATTGCACAGATAATGTGGAAGTAATAGATTCACAGCGCGAGGCAGTCAAGTCAAACTGCTCAAAAAGTCAAGTAGTATCTTTCATATGGGCTGTTTCTCGGAGTTTACTTCCTTCTGAATTACTAGGTACTCCTTCCAATTGGAGAATAATGAGAAGAAACATTTCGAAGTTCATACAGTTACGGAAATTTGAAAAATTCCCTTTAAAGCTATGTTTGCATAAACTAAAAATATCAAGGTTTCCGTTCCTGTCAAATAAGTATTTTTTGAGTAGTCAAAATGCCGGGCTTCTTAAGTATTTAGAAGAACATGATAAAGTTTTGCATAAAGAATTCAGAAATTTGAACTGTGATGTGCAAGGTGTCAAACGTAAGCTTCTGGAGAAATGGATCTTCTGGTATTATTCTTTTCTGGTTGTGCCTTTGGTGCAAGCAAACTTCTATGTTACTGAAAGTGAGCATACGAAACAAGACATTTACTATTATAAAAAACCAATTTGGGAGAAGTTGATTAAAACCACTATTGCTTACCTCAAAGACTCTAGCTATAGTCACTTGGGTGATGCGGCCTTGCATAATATTCTTCGGAGTAGACCATTTGGATTTTCAAAGCTCAGACTTCAACCTAAGGAAAATGGAGTAAGGATGGTGGCAAATCTTAAAGGTTCTTCAAGATTGCCATTGGTTGAGTCCACCATGGGAGTTCAATATTGCAAAACTAAAAGGAAAGAAAACCATCAGAAAATAAAGTTTGAATATTTCCGATCTGTGAATTATGTTCTTCGTGATGCCCATACTATTCTTAAAGGAATTCAGTTCAAGGAGCCTCAGAGGCTAGGTTCTTCAGTATTTGATTACAATGATATTTATAGAAGACTTTGCCCATTTTTGATTAGCCAGAAGAAGGGATTGACACCTATGTCTTCTTTATTCATTGTCACGTCTGATGTTTTGAAAGCATTTGATTCAGTTGATCAGGAGAAGTTGCTTGACATAATGAAAGATGTTCTTTGGAAAAATAATTATTTTCTCAAACAGTATGATCAAGTTGTTTGCACAAAGAAATCTTTGTGGGTTCAAAAGCAATTTACTATGCTGGACAAAACAAGCAACTCTGGCCATACACAGTTCAGATCATTTACTTCATCCCGGCATGGTGTTTTTGTTAATCAGGTTTATTTGCACATTTTGTCATGTGTTCTGTTTTGTTGTATCGCATAATGAGTTTAATTATTCAAATTTAGATGTCTTGTACTTTTCCTCGCACATTATATATATTTTGAAACTTTTCCTTACCATTATGTGGGCAAGGCCGCATATAATCCAAATTGCTCAAGCTTTAATATATTAGTGTTTCTTTACTTTTGAAAAAGATATTGTAGTAAATTCTCCATGACAGTTTAAAGTTAAGGAAAAAACTCCTATTCTCATTTTTACCTTTTTAATATATCATAGGAGCGGCAGAGGAATGTGAAAAAGAAATTGTTATTATCATATCTAACAGAGCATGTGAAACACAACGTGTTGCAGTTTGATGGAAAGTTTTACTTGCAAGGTGTTGGTATATCCCAGGGAGGAATTTTGTCATCTTTGCTTTGCTCCTTGTATTACGGGCATTTGGAGAAGAATGTGATATTTCCATTCTTTCAAAAGACACTTGAATCTGGCAATTGCAAGGAGAATAATTCTGTCCAAACCGATAGTGGTGACTCATCACCGTGTTATCTGCTAATGCGATTTATTGATGACTTCTTTTTTATATCAAACTCAAAGAAGCAGGCTGCCAGCTTTTTCTCCAGGATGAAAAGAGGGTTTCGTGGTTACAACTGCTACATGAATGAGAAAAAGTTTGGTGCAAACTTTGATGTAGAACAGACACCAGATTCCTCATTGAACAGGGTTTATGCGGGCAAAGGCGGTGCTACCTCATTCGTTCCATGGAGCGGTCTTCTTATCAATTGTTCCACTATGGAAATTCAGGCTGATTACACAAAGTTAATCTCTATTTTAAGCACTTTGATTGATCTTATGGGCATATAATGTGTATACTTGTTACTTAGTTGGAAAAATCTTTTGTTGAAAGCTTTCTAGTGTAAAGTGTTATTCATAATGTGATTTTATTTGGGCTCTTTTTCTTGGACTAACTAATTTTGTATTCCAAACAGGTACTTAAATAACCATTTAAGCTCGACGCTCACTGTTTGCTGGCAAGACAAACCAGGGACTCGTCTAAAGGAGAAGATGCGTCTCTTTCTAAGACCTAAATGCCATCCTTTGTTCTTCGATTCAAATATCAATTCAGTAGAAGTTGTCAGATTAAATATTTATCAAATGTTTCTGATATGTGCAATGAAGTTTCATTGTTACATCCGCGACCTATCATTTGTTTGCAAATTTCACAAAAGATATTGTTTGGACATTATTCAGAAATCTTTAAGGTATGGATGTAGTATTATTCTGTTGAGCTGTTATTAACAATTCAGTTTCTATTGATTCTATTAACTTATCTCATGACGCCAATGAGAAACAAACACAAAAAACGACCAAAGAGAGTACCGTACCGTATGTATTTCTCTCTTTATGCTTCAATTTTAGAACTTGAAATCATTAGTCAGCTTTGTTTTCTTTCATTGTCAACTATCAGATACATGCACATGCTGATTAAGAGAAGAATGCATTCCATGCGTATGAATTCTAGTATCCGACCAATTCTCAAATTGAAGAAGGGAGAAATTGAATGGCTTGGATTTCATGCTTTTGTACAAGTGTTAAAGAGAAAGGAATCACGTCATAAGAAGTTGCTTGCAGTTTTGAAGTCAAAGTTGCTGTCACATAGAATTTCTGGGAGTGTGCCACCTGAACTGAAGTATGCTGTTGATGCCGAAAATTCTTCTTTGCTGTGGAAAATCAAGTATTAGTTCCTATAAGTAAGTTGTGATGATCAAACTACTTATTTCATATGAATCTTTTTTGAGCACTTGGCTTTGTATCATGTAAGAGTAAATGTGGTATCAAGTTGATTTGTGGAAGAAAAAACATAGTAGATTTGACTGTGGTATAGTCTAGTGAATGTTGAAAGTTAGCATGTTTTACCTTTTGTTTTGAATTGCATAGCAAATGCAGATGTTTCTACCATTTTATTGTATATATAATGGTCTAAACTATGTATGTGTGAATGGAAAATTGGTACAAAAAAATCTAAATGGTTAGGCATGCATACATTGGTGAAAGCAAGAAAACTCAATATGATAAGCAAAAGTAGGGAGGGATAATGTATAAGAATGAGCAGGGTATTATAGTATTCATTCTCATACTTTCATATTAATTTTTTTTGTTGTACTCGAGTCTATATTTGCACGGGCACCAATGTTTGTGTCCGTACTCGGATCCATACTTGTTTACTCTTTTTTATAGTAAAATAATTGATCAATTATAAATTATCATGTAATTTTAAGTTTTTAATAACATTAAGGTTGTTTCATGGTTTTAAAAATTAACCACAAAAGAAATTACCGGGTCGAGTCGCAGACTAGGTCGCTCTCTTTCAGACGTTTTGCGACATTGTCCAAAATTATTCAAAGCAGTTGAACTACTGTGCTGCCTCTAAGATAAAACAATTCAGTTTTATACTGTATGATTACTACATACACGATAGATAATCGGTTTAGAGATACACCATCTAATGGTACAAAAACCATTCAAATATGGTATAAATACCACTCGCAGTATCTGGTATAACGACAAATTGTAATAATTTCTTAAACCAAGAGATATTCCAATAATTCTTCAAACAAAATTCAATAATGGTCATTTGACCACTAAGAATGATTTCTTAAACAAAGAGAAGTTCAAATAATTCTTCAAAGAGAATGCAAAAATTAATACTTGTAATTTCTCAACTCAAACGAGGAGAAATTAACATAATTTTCTAAAGAGAATTTAAGAAAATACTCAGAAAAATCAACGAGTAGAAAGAAAGGGAGAGAAGTTGACGCTTCGACAATTCGAAAGACGTAATGTTATGAGAGCGAGGAAGGAAAAACTTAATAAGTTTTTGGTGTATTTTAGAATGAAATAGATAATTTCCTTATATAATGAAGTTAGAAAGGAAATATATCTCACTTAAGCAATGTGAGACTAAGAAGTTTTTTCAACTAACACACAGTGTATGACTTGACTTAAAATTTTTTTTCTAATTCATCTCTCTATATTTGAATATTGACATAATGTTCCAACAATCCCACACTTGAATTTAAAAAAGTGTTTCACAAGTAATGTCAAACGTTTCTAAGATTGTGCATAAATAAAGGTGTCTACGACTTGAACCTTTGCATTGCACATAGGATTCCTATTCAACAAGAGTGACACAATTGTCTTGAACTCTATCTCAGACATCAAGCCCTCACACAACCTTTTCTTAAGATGTATTATAATAGCCTGTGCTTTAATGGTCTTGCACGTGTATCCCGGTTTAGTGAAGGATCTAGGACTTCTCCCTCAAAATTTCATAGGAACTGGCCTAAGTTCCACAATCACATAGGTGAGTCTATCAAGAGTACTCCTATAGCCTAAGTACTCCCTCATACAGAGTATATATCTAATTAAGAGTTTCTATTATCTCATCCTCTTATCGCTCTAGGGTTCATGCTTCTCTTATTTATTCTAGCATGATCACCTCATATACTCAAAATTTGTTATTACCGATTGAACCTATTTCTTGGGATCTCCAGTCATTTAGGTCGGGTTACCATCATGAGCAACTCGTTTTTCTATAGCATTAGTCTCATCTTATTGGATGTATTATTGACTTTCTCTCTAGCTAATCCTGTTGTCAAAGGATCTGTTAAATTTTTTATCAGTGTGTACATGATCCACTCTTACAACTCCTTTAGAGATACAGTCTCTAACAGTGTCGTGCTTCCTCCTTATTTGACGTCAGTTACCGTTATACTAACGATTCTCAATATTTGCAATAGCCAGGGTACTATCGCACTGGATCAACACAATTGACAAAGGTTTTTTCATAAAGGGACCTCAGCTAGCAAGCATTTTAACCAACTTGCTTCTTCACTAGTAGTTGCTAATACTATCATCTCAAACTTCATCCTGGATTGAATCAGGATAGTCTGTTTCTTTGATTTCCAAGAAATAGCTTTTCCAACTATATTAAATACATAACCACTAGTTACTTTGGAGTCATTTGATAAGGTATTCCAATCTACATCATCGTATGCTTCAAGTATAGGAGAAAATCTCTAACAATGCAAACTAAGATTCATGACCTTTTTAAGGTATCACATGACTCGCTTAATAACTTGTCAATGCTCATTACTCAGTCTACTAGTAAACCTGCACAAAAATCCTACAACATATGCAATGTTGGGTCTATTACAATCAATAACACAACTAAGACATCCAATGATGCTCACATATTATGTTTGTTTGACAGTTTCACGCTTGGATCGTATGGCGTGCTGGTAACAACCCAATTTTCAATAACTGATTAATGGTACTAGTTAATTGGTTTGTATGATTTGAGTGAATTATTGGATTTAACTGATTTATTCTATTTGGTGGAATAATGTAGACTTACTAGATATTCTCTAATTAAGGAATGAGATGGGATATTTGATGAGAAAAGGAATTAGTAAACATTGTGAGAGAAGAAATAAATTGGAGAGAAACAGAAGGGAAGGATATATGAAGGGGGAGCGGAACGAAAATGTAAAATAGAAAACATGAAAGAAAAGTGGAGGAAGAAGAGAAAGTAAAAGTAAAAATAAGGAAAAGCTTGGAAAGCTCAAAAACTACTTCTAGCTTCCGATTAATCGAGGTAAGGGTGGGAAGTATCGTTATCTTACCAATGTATGGATTGTTTGTATTTTTTTGGTTGTTCTTCCTCATCTTCCATTCTAGGGCATAATGAGTTTAATCGGTAGAAACCGAGTTTGAACGGTAAGAAATGAGAATGAGTGGTAGGATTTAGTCGAGGAATGTTGGGCTAAGGCTACCGAGACGATTTGGGATTGAATCGGGTCGATTTCGATGATTCCGGAGTTTTGGACAGTGGGGAAATTCTGGGTTCGCAGACCCTCGCTAGCATGTTCGCTAGGCGAGCGGGTCGCGAGCATTCGCTGTGGCGAGTGGGGTAGCGAATCAAGTCAGTGGCTTCTGATTGCCTTCGCGAGCTTGCTCGCTAGGCGAACAGGGTAGCGAGTGTGATAACATGTTGTTTTCTTGTGTGTTCCATTCAATTGTTAATTGCTTGGTTCAACGATGTTAATCCTTATGCAACGTGAATAGTTTGTGTGTTATTGTGATGAGACATGCTGTGGGTAGCCTTATGGCGTGAATCCTAGATTGTGGAATTATATGCATCGTTTGAATTAAACATGAATGCATGATGAGTGTGATGATGTGTGAAGTATGCATGAGAATATATGTATATGTTAATGATGTTGTGAATATGTGAGCGTGCGAGATTCTTACTCACTGGGGTAGAACGACAAGGTGTCGTTCCTAGTGTAGTAATCACCGGGGTAGAATAACTGTGATGTTGTTCCTGGTGGGGTATATGTGTTGTACCCATAATCCAAATGAGGATTTGCGAGAGTTGAGGAGTTTGTATGAGTCATAAGGTATGTGTATATGATTGTTGTATGAAAGTGTGAGATGTGGCCGTTTGACAATTATGTGTATAACTGTACGTACTTGTGTGGGGTAATGCGTAATTGAATATTTTTGTGTATATGTATGCATTTCAAGAGTGTGTGGAGTCATTGTGCGTGTGTAGCATCATGATTTCATTCTTGTGTTTTGATCCCGTGGAGGATCTGCAGAAACCTCATGTGCCCTTGTGGGGTGTGAGCGATGGTTTATTCTTGATCCCGTGGAGGATCTGCAGAAACCTCGTGTGGCATTATGGGGTGTGAGCGATGGTTTATTCTTGATCCCGTGGAGGATCTGCAGAAACCTCGTGTGCCCTTGTGGGGTGTGAGCGATGGTTTATTCTTGATCCCGTGGAGGATCTGCAGAACAATTGTGTGCCCTTGTGGGGTGTGAGAAATCCTGAAACATCGTGTGCCCATGTGGGGTGTGAGCGATGGGTGAACATCGTAGGCCCGACAGGGAGTTACTTCGGTAACGAGCGATGGTTCCTTTTGGTTCTTCAATTGAACCTGCTGAACTAGTCGGTACTGCATTTGCATTTGCATAGAGTCGTGAGTCGGTCTCTATGAGTTGCATTATCATCTTTATATGATGCATTGGTGAAATAAACATGAATATAAATGTTTATGTGAATTGGTGGAATAAACATGTTATGTGTTTTTATGTGAATTGATGAATGTGTTTAATTAGGTAAACGTATGTTGTGACATATATGACGTTTAAAGTGTATTGTGGTGAAAAAATGTGGAACATATGTATTTTGTATTTGTGCATTTATATATGATTATATGCATTGTTATTATGATAATATTTCTCACCCTTCTGATGGAATGATGTCCTTCATGACATCGTGTAGGTATCAAGGCGTAATACTGCTCGTAGTTGCGAGGTCGCTATTGGTGTAGCTGTTTAGTGATTTAATTTTATTGGGTCGAGTCGTGCTCTGGTCATGTAACACTGGGATCTTTTGGGTTATGTTTCTGATGTATTTTGTGTTGTTGGCCTCCATGCCTAAGTGAGGCAATTATGTGATAAAAGTAAATATTTCTTTTATGAAAAATTGTGATATAAATAAATCCGCTGTTACATGCAAATGAAATCTTGTAAAGTATGATTATTTATTTTAGTGTTATTGAGCATGACATATGGTTTTTAGTAAATTGGAAGTATATGTGTGATGTCCTTTGTGAATGCATGTTAATTTTACTTTGATAATGCCTATTTTTTCGTGGGGTTTAGAAGGGTGTTA